TGTTATGTAGTTATTCTAGATTACAGAGAGCTGTCATTTTTTGGGTTTTCGGTACCTAGACAACTGCACCGTATGTTAGCATAGGTCTTATAATGGCCATGTAAGTCTATGCGAGGACTCTCGGGAAGAAATTCCAGGTGTGCCCCTCGCTTCGGAGAATAAAGTAACGTGAGGTAACACTCGACCAACTAGTTAACATAATGAAAAGTTTTACTGACAAAAATATAAAGACGAAGATTCTCAGGTGCTGGAATTGCGGTGAACTGGTACATCTACGCAGTTTGTGCAAACGCCCTAGGGACCCAACAACTGAAGACAACAAGCCGCAGAAAAACTAGAGCGGGTTGACCAAGAAGGGGCAGCTTTGCCCCGAAACCGTTCCAAAGGCCCTCTCAATCTGATAGCTCCTTTGAAATGTCGCGATGATGGTGTATACGTAGACGGCGAAATAAATGTTAAAAAGTATACACTGTTGGTGGATACTAGAGCAACTACGACCATTATACGATCAACAACCATAACTAACCGCAAGAGATTTCTACCAACAAGATTGCGACTGTGGTTTGCCCCAGGTGAAAGTGCCAACATTCATGGGGAAATCCAGCTCCAATTAGGAATTGTTACTGAAAAGTTCACTCATACTGTTATTGTCGCTGATATCGAAGAAGATGTTAATCTTGGAATGGATGTAATAAACTTACATGGTTTCCAGTTGGACTTTAAAAACAAAGTGATCAAAGTTGGTGCCGAAGAGGCATTCCTACATCCATATGGAGACAATATTGTGCCAGTTGCTGTACACGGTGGTACCTGGCCAAAGTAAAACTATTATAGTAGCACGGCTTCAAGAAACTATAGAAGAAGGAACACCTGTAATGATGGAACCTTGGAACCACGATAAAGAGGTTGGACGATGAATTCTACCGAAAAGCAAGACATGGTGTTAAAACCGAGTAACAACAAGATCTGCTCATGGTTCCTAAAAACTACTCGCTGATCCATAGCACTTCTGCCAACATCAACGACGCTCGAGGTCTAGCATCTGTGTTCTGGAAGAAGTTTGGTCGATTGCCAGAACTTCAAGGTCAGTTACCAGCCTCTGGAAAAACATTGAAACTTCAAGATGGATCGCATTATCTTTTCTATTTGGTAACGAAGAACACCTTCCGAGATCGTTTCACTTATCATGATGTATGGAAAGCATTACTAAATCTGAAGAAGCACGTACTGGAGTTCAATGTACATAAACTAGCCTTGCCCAAGACAGAGAGCAACCAGCTAAATTGGAGGATCATTAGAAACATGCTGGAAGTTATCTTTCAAGATTCAGAAGTCCAAATACTGGTCTGCAGCCCTTCGCCTAGTATCCAGGTTTCAGCAAAAACCATCTCTTGTTATTTCTATATAAATGGAAATTGTAAATGTGGGTCCAGTTGCAGATACAATCATTCAGTTTTTGTTCCAAAAGTAACTAAGGACAAACGCATCGCTTCGAGATGCTACCGGATAGATTCCTTTGCGGCGTATGAATCATAAAGAGGCAGTTTTCGATCGTTCTGGAAACTGTAATAAATTAGAATTGTAAATTATAATAGTGCCTAAGAATTGTATAACTTAATTATTACTTTATAAATAAATTGTAAATAAAGTGTGTTAAATAAATAAACTATAAATAAATTAAACAATCGTTGCAATACAAATATAGTTTAGAGTTTTTGAGATCATTGAACCCACTATGACAAATTTCTGGCTAGGCCGTTGCATATATTCCATGGAAGTATTCACAATGTATTTTATCTTCCGGCGCGGAAAATAAAATCGAAACAAGATACATACATTTTGACTAAAAAAAAACGACATCAATTTGTAGTTCGCAGAAAATTCATATTTGGGAAATACTGCGCAGTTTTGTGTTCGTTGTCGACCGAAAAAATATTTTATATTTTGAAAGGACGTAGGTACTTCAAAATGTTTAATGCAGCCGAGTTGTTCTGGATTTGACGCAAATATTTCAAAAAAATAAATAAATAATGAGATCCAGATCGTTAGGTAGACATCCGTTTATAAAATGGGCGCGCAATTTAGAGTTTTAAATTGGCACAGTGGTAATAGACATTCGGTATCGGTTAATGTATATAGACTTATTAATCTGGTAAAGTTTTTATTAGTGGTTAAGGCCATATGAGAGAGGCTGAAATTAAGTATAAAGACATAGAAAGCTCCCTTAATTCTCACTTGGTCAATTTATTGGCGACCAGCTTCCAATTGATTACTTCATCATCAGGTACACCTAAATGGAGTTAATGCATTGAAAGGTGTAAATTATTTAATATAAAAATAAAAATATAAGAAAAAAATAAAAATAGGGAAGATTAATAATAATTGAAGGGTTTGGTGCAAAAACCGGTCAACTCCATTTTATACCCAAATTTAGTTACGAGGGTCATTCAATAAGTAAAGAGACAAATGGCTATAGCTCAAAACCAGTTTATTTCAATCTTTCAAAATTAAGGCTATTTTTCAACATAATCACCCTTCACAGTTATGTACTTGTTCCATCTTTCTTGCAGCTTCCTAATTTCCTTGACAAAGAATTCTTTCGATTTACCCCGAAGCCACTTTTGCAGCGCTTCCTTAACTTCCTCATTGTTAGCAAATCTTTTTCTACGTAGGGCGTCTTTGAGTGGTCCAAACAGGTAAAAATCAGATAAAGCGAGGTCGGGACTGTAGACAGAATGAGGTAAGACCTCCCAACCAAATTCTTGAAGCTTATCACGGGTCAGCTGGGCTGTATGAGGGCGGGCGTTATCGTGCTAAAGAGTGACTCCTTTTGACAAGAGTCCACGGCGTTTGCTCCTGATAGCTGGTCTAACTTTGTGTTCTAGAATCTTAAAGTAGTATTGGGTATTGATAGTTCGCTGATCTTCAAGGAAATTGCAATAGACTGGACCTTGTGAGTCCTAAAAGATGGTCAGCGTCACTTTACCGGCGGAAGGTTGAACCCATCTGGCTTTTGTTTTTCTGTTCTTTTAATTGTTCAGAATGACATTTTGAACAGTTCCAACACTTACTTGAACTTCCTTAGCTATCCTTTCAACAGTAATTCTTCTGTTATCACGAATAAGTCCGTCAATCCTAGATTCCAACGAGGGACCAGAAACTTCCACTGGACGTCCACATCGGGGTTTATCATCTATACTTGTTCGGCCACTTTTAAACCGATCAACCTACTTGTAAAAATTCGCATGGTTCATATATTTTTTACCGTACTGTATCAACATTCTAAATAAAATGTCACTTGGTTTTATACCTTCTGCGACTAAAAATCTAATGACTGAGCGCTGCTCTCCTAAGGTGCAATCTTCTAATGGACTTGCCATGGTGAATTGAAAATTTTGAGGTTATGTATAAAATGATAAAACAGCTGATTAGAGCATATCTCAAGGTTGCCAAATAACACCCCTGAAAAGATTGTACACATTCATTGAATAGTTATAAAATTATAGAATTTGTCTGTTTACTTATAGAGTGACCCTCGTATTTTATACATCTTATAGAACAAATATTTGCGCATCTTTCGATGCAAGAATCAGCGATCTCCAACAAATATTAAAGTAGATACATAGGCCACGGAGTTGACTGCTTCAATACTTAGGTGCAAAAATCAGTCAACTTCAGGAGATGACTGCTTCTTGCCACCAATGAATGCCCACATTGGCAACATCCGAAGATCAGGCCATGGGCGACCACGACGGCAAGCGAAACAGCATTCCAGTAGTTGTTTTTTGTTGCAGTAATCGTTCATTAATGCTTGCAGTGGTACCTCAGTAAGAATAACGTGTAAAAATAAGATCGTTTTAATATGAATAGTAGCTCTATTAGTGAGATTAGTGAGGAAGAACCTTATGCAGATTCTGCGACTGACTACGTGTTATCATCTGAGTCCTCTGAGCCTGAGTTACCGGATACTAGTCGAGGGCGACCAAAGCATTTTCTTATTGCTAAAAAGAATATCCGTGCAAGTAATGAGCAACAAGAAAGGTCTGTGCGTATTAATAGAGGAACTTTAAACATTCAATCCGTTAAGAAAAAAGGCAAGGAATGGGTAGGGATTCAAAGTAAATGGAAACGAAATGTTGTGAAAACTAAGAAGGCTAGAGGTGAAGAATATATTAATTGGGCAAATAAAGTAATTCCAAAGATAAGTACAGGACCAATTTCCAGCTGTAGAAAAAGATGTTTTACAAACATAGATGATATCCAAAAAAATAATATACTTCAGCAGTTTTATAGTACGGAAGATAAAACTAAACAAGACATTTATCTAGAAGAATCAGTGTGGCAAATGTGCAATGAAAACATCCAACTACAGGAGAAGGCAGAGAGAAAAACAGCAGCTATCAGTATGGGGCAAAATATGATAATTGGACCTAAAATGTTTTTCTTTTGTAGAACAAAAAAAAATCGATAGTCCCATACACACTTTCACCCCCCGTTTCCCACCCTTAAAATGTAAAAATCCAAAAACCCTGAAACACGTCATTATTTATTTTTGCTTAGTAGCTGTAATTTCAATTATCATGTTGCTAACTTTAAAGAACAAAGAGTTTCATTAAAAGCTCCCTCCCCCCATTTCCTCACATTTCCCCCCTTTAAAGTTAAAATTTTTAAAAATCCTTTCTTAGCAGATGCTTACGTTATAAAATAAACCTATGTTCCAAATTTCAGCTTTCTAGGCTTAGTAGTTTTGGCTGTACACTGATAGGTCAGTCAGTCAGTCAGTCAGGACAAACAATTTTATATATATATATATAGATAGATGACAAAATAGGTATTTCGTTTTTTTTTTACTTTATTCAGAATGCCATTTTTGGACTAGTAATGTTCTTTGACTCGTTGATTCAATTGAAAACGATTAAATATTACAAAATGAGCATCCAATTTTTGTATTTAAATAATTTTAGTTTTTGACTTTACACTTAATATTAATTCTTTTGCAGCTAATCCTAAACAATGCACGTCGTGTTCTGGAAAAAACTGCAATGCGCAAATAACAGTGAAAATATGTTCAACAAGCGAATCTTCAGTAGATGATAATATATTTAAAGCTAACAATCCTGATGTAATTTGTATTTATAAGGAATATTTAGATAAAGGTAAGCTACTAATATTATTATTATTATTATTATTATTATTATTATTATTATTATTATTATTATTATTATTATTATTATTATTATTATTATTATTATTATTATTATTATTTTTTTATTTTGGTATCATCGGCATCAACTACTAAGGTTACTAGCCTCCCTATTATTATTAATATTCTTATTAATATAAAAAATTATGAGTATTACAGTATTACCCGAAATAAACAGTACTGAACTGTATTTTTTTTATTTATTTAAGAAATGCATATTATTGACATTTTAGTACATGTTCCAAATGTGCACCTCCTCGTTTGAGACTGACTTCATAACGATGTTCCAAATTTAGGAAGAATTGATCATACACGTATCGCAGACTTGCACTATTAAGTCGTCGGCTTATTCCGTATGAGCGAAAATAAGACTCTACCAGAAACACTTTCTCCTCTCTACCTATTCTTAACAATAAGACCCTAGTAGTTTTTTTTTGGCTTGGACTTTTGTCATTCAGCCAGTCACTTAATGAATATAAATAATATAATATAAATAATACAATACAAAATAAATGGTAAACAACAATGGCAACAAAAATAACAATCCATCGGAACAAAATCAATCTGTCGCAACAAAACTAATCTATCGTAACAAAACCATCCTATCACGTCAAACAAAATTTAATAAGACAATAGTTTTCAAAGGAAATAGACAAGGACACTCGTTTCTCGTCCAGGGACCCATCAGGACATTTTTTTTTTAAGGCACACTAGAAATAGGCCACGGAGTGGGTAGGGTAATATAACAAAGGTAATTAGGATATATCAAAAACAAAGGTAACAAATCTACTACAATCTTATATCTGCTTTTGACAGAAATTCTATCAAACAATCAAAATTTTCTTTTTTAGATGAAGCCAAAATTGACAATGCATTAAACGGAGCAGTTATATTTACGTTGCACAGTTTTTTATATAATTCATTTGACAGATTCTGATAAGTTGTGCATTTAAAGAAAATGTGATCTAAATAACCTATAACTCCACAGTGTTCACAGTTGTCACTAGGTATAACATTTATACGAGAAAGATGTTGGGGATAACATGCGTGTCAAAATTTCAGTCTACTTATTGTTGTGATAAATCTGCGAGGAATATTAAACTGCTTTTGCCAATATTTTGTGGGTATGGTCGGATGTAACAATGTGTAACTTGTTGCGTTAGTGATAGAAAATTCACTCCATGAATGCGACCACATTAAACGTAGTTTATCGACATGTTCATTTTCCGCTAGGCCTATATGAGCTTTTATCCACAAGAAACGAATTAGTGTACCAGTTAGAGATAAATCTGCGACAAGTGATTTTAAAGATGTATGGGTTAAAATTAACAGTTGGGAGTTTTGTATCTTCCAAGGCCTTTAAAACAGATAGAGAATCGGAAACTAGTACTGCACTGTTGTGATTAATCGATTTGACATATAGTAAAGCTTCATATATAGCTACAGCTTCGGCACTAAAAATAGAAAATGCAGAATTCAGGCTGTGTGATTTCTCTATGTTTCTAGATGGAATATAATAAGCAAAACCTGTTCCAGTGGAGGTTTTAGAAGCATCAGTATATATGATTAGGGCGTTTTCCCAATTAGATAGAAATGATCTTAATATATTTCTACTTAGATGTACATTAGAGTCATAATATGGTTGAATGATATGATTTTTATGAAGAAATAGAGGATAGTCAACAAGTTGTTAGATCATCAGTTTTATATATGCTGGGCAACTAGTAATTAGTTGTTCAAGGTTTACTTGACAGGTCTATACTAGCTACCTTGGGTATAATAGCGGGCGTAAAGAGACACTGCCAACTTAGTTTTAGTACTGTTTATTTCTGGCAATACTGTATTTCGAACAAATATTTAAAGGTGATTCCTACTATCAAATTAAACAGCCACCCAAAAAAATTTTTTTTTTGATTTGGGGATCAGTCTGCGTTTTTATATGTTATTAGGGTTGCTGAATTTAAATCTGGGGTCCACTTTACCCTATCACGTCAGGGTTTTGCCATAACCTCAAAAAACCCAATAATTGAGGCTTTTCAACACTTTCAAACGCATATAAGCCTGTGACTCCAACTTTAGATACAAAAATCCAAGCTACTAACTCCAAATCCTTAACCGTAAAATCTCATAAAACTTCATAATGCACACCGACCCAAATAAGATTCCAGACCTTTTGGATTTCTTAATTCTGAGGAAAATTTCACCAAACTATACGCAAGAAGAAGAAAACTTTAATATGTATTCAGTCCATTCTGCAGTAATCCTTACTCTAAGTGATAATGTTATTCAAAAAGAAGCAAAAGCGACCCTAGCAAATAGGAAAACTAAATGGGAAGGTTTTCAAGAGGACTTAGCAAATACTATTAAAACTGACCATAACACTAAAAACGAAAAATCAGCTAGATGAAGAACTGGAAAGGTTTATAGTTGAAATCCAGCAAGCTACATGAAGGAACACACCAAAAGTAAGAAGATTAACAGCTGGAAAAAACTATCCTGTCGAGATAAGAGAACTGGTAGCAGAAAAAAGAAAACTAAGAAAGAAATGGCAGATGACAAGATCACCAGAAGATAAAAATATTGTTACGCTAGTTTTTGGTATCACAATTTATTTTAACCGAACTTTACAATAACTATAATTCAACTTTGACAATAACTTGACAACTGACAACTTGACAACTGATAACATTCACGTTCAACGTCTATCATAAAACTAAAACTTTGACGTCAGGTCGTCGACTTATATAGCTTGTTGACCTTCTCGAACCTTCTCGAAATGTCATCTAGAATTTTTTTGACGTGTAATGACATTTCTGGACATTTCTGGAATAGTCTGTCTTCTTTTGCTTGTACTTTTACATATGACGACCCCAGCACACTGTAAAGCGATGAGTAACATTCCACTTTTTCTTCTATCTGTACGTTTCCTATGATAGCCACAGGCTACTACAGGGTGCTGCGTAACAATATATTAAATAGGGCTACCCAAAGACTGAGAAGAGAAATCCTAAATCACAAAGAAGAATCCTTCAACAGATACCTAGTAGGGCAAACAGATGATAAAGACACTGATTATTCACTGTGGAAGGCAACTAAAAAGATGAAAAATTCGTGTAAACACTGTCCTCCAATCAGAATAGTAGATAACAAATGGGCAAGAGACAATCAACAAAAAGCTGATATTTTTGCTGACCACCTACAAAAGACGTTCCAATTAGATGAAAATCAAGACACTCCTAATGAGACCATCCATAATATGGAACAACTTGAAATTAAGCTAGTTACTCCCAATGAAATTATGAAAGAACTTCAGACAAACCTAAACTCACAGAAAGCCCCAGGATATGACTTTATTACTGGAGAAATATGAAAAAAACTACCATGGAAGGCTATTGTTAAATTGACATACCTCATAAATGCAGCATTTCGCCTTAAATATAAACCTGATACGTGAAAAATGGATGAAGTTATTCTAAATCCTAAGCCAGGAAAACCTCTGAATGAAGTGTCATCATATAGACCTATATCATTGTTACCGATAATATCTAAGTTATTTAAAAAACTACTACTAAAACGACTAAAACCAAAAATTGAAAATAAAAATCTTATCCCTTCGCACCAATTTGGTATTAGAAACAAACACTCGACAATAGATCAAGTACACAGGATAGCCGATATCATCGAAAAAGCTTATGAAGAAAAATATATATACTTGAAAAAATGCTCCCTAGACGATATGTCGACATTCTACAATCATATCTAACGGGAAGAATGTTAAGAGTAAAGCATGACGAGGCATACTCCGAAATGAAAGAAATTAAAGCAGGTGTCCCACAAGACAGTGTGCTAGGACTGGTTCTTTACTTATTATACACCAGCGATATCCCTCAACAACAATCTGTTAAAATAGCAACATTTGCGGATGACACTGCAATATTGGCAGTTGACGGAACTAATACAGAGACCTCAGAAAAACTTCAGGAAACCTGCAACAGAATCAATCGATGGACAGAAAAATGTAAAATAAAAATAAATCAAACTAAATCAGTGCATGTTGATTTTACTCTTCGACCAAATGAACAAAAACAAATAAGAATAAACAATTATGTCATTCCGCATCACGATTCGGCCAAATACCTAGGGATGAACCTAGATGTAAAACTTAAATGGAAAGAGCACATAAAAAAAGCGTAAAGAACTTGAACTTAAATTTAAAAATGTATAGGGTCCTAGGAGGAAAATCCAAATTGTCAGTGCACAACAAACTGCTGATTTATAAACAAATCCTAAAAGCAATCTGGATTTATGGCATACAGCTATGGGGAATGGGGATGTGCCAGCAAGAGTAATATCAACATGATACAAGTTTTCCAAAATAAAGTCCTAAGATGCATTGTTGATGCACCTTGGTTCTACCGAAACGATTATCTTCATAGAGACCTGAATATGCCAACAACCGAAGAAGAAATAAAGAGGTTTGCTGCGAAACATGAGGGTCGACTCCACTCCCACGTCAACGAAGAAGCGCTGCAATTACTGGACAACTCTACACTCAACAGAAGGCTCAAAAGGAAGAAGCCATTTGAGTGCAGTGCAGTGAACGTTAATGTTAGTGTTAGTGTAAAACAGTGTAATAAATCGTCACGCCAATTTGTGGTGCTTTTCTATAGAAACAATTAAGACAGCCCAATGGGGACTTCTTAGTTAAGTAATTAGTTATAAGATTTTTAGATTAAAATTGTAGGTTAATCAGTAATGACTAGTGACAATTTTTTTGGGTTTGTGGATCAGACTATGTTTTTGGGATCGCTGGATTCTAATCCGGGGTCCGCTTAATCCGATCACGTCAGTATTTTGCTATAACCTTAAAAAATACAATAATTAAGGCTTTTCAGCACTTTTTAATGCATATATGCCTGTAATTCAAACTTTAAACAAAAAAGCCATGCTGTTAACTATAAGTCTATAACCCTATAACACCATAAACTCATAACCTCTTAATGCAATAACCCTATAACTTTGTAAGAACAGGTCAACAATAACAAATTTTTTCTCATTTGCACAATATAGTTCGACAATAGTTGATGGTGGCGATCAACTAGACAAACTCGATCATAAAATATTACTTTAAAAGCTTGGCACGTTTGGATTATCCAAGCCTATCATACTTTTTTTTTATTCTTACTTGACAAACAGAACTCAGTTTGTTGTAGTGAGTGAATTTAACATCTTAGTTACCTCTGGCGTACCTTAAGGCTCGATTCTGAGACCGCTTTTATTTATACTATTCGTAAATGACATCATTAATGACGTTAACGTAAAATATTTAATCTACGCAGACGATGTCAATTTTTTTTATTATGTAGACATCTTAAACGATTGTACTTAATTACAAACTAATATTAATAAAATAAATAATTGGTGTTTAATAAATAATCTTCCATTAAATTCAAGAACAATTGTAATACAGTATCATATACAAAAAAGATTTTTCATTTCTCTATAATTACTGTTTGGATGGTGTCATATTAAACAGGCCTGATTTTGTTATAGACCTTGGTGTAAAGTTAGATAGAAAACTTACTTTTAATGAATATATTGTACAATGCGTTCGTCAAATCAAAATTAGAATATGCTTTATTTATATGGAAACACACACAGACATCATAGTCACATTTTATGAAATTCACATAAGTGCTCTTGAAAACATTCAAAGACGATATCAAATTCTTGGCATTTAAGATAGACGGAACCAATTAAAATAAATCACATATTGCTTTTAAATAGATTCCAAATGTAAAGCTTAGAATGTAGACGAAAAAATCAGCCGTTAATATTCCTGTATAAACTTATTAACTACCAAATTGATTGTTCCGAGTTATTGGAAAAACTTGTATTTAAAGTGCCAAGAATTGAATCTCGAAACAACTTAATCCCGGAAAAATTTATTAAAAAACTCGCCGTCGTATTTTATGCATAAAAACTGCAACAACCTGGAAGGTATAATTGATTTATTTTTTTTATTGGTACCCTATTTTACTTATTTAAAGTACGCCTCAGCGTGTTTAAAACGAACTTTAAAAAACGCGAGTGTTTTAAAGTTACCATGCCAACATCAACAACCCGAGAAACGTAATGTCTAAATGCCAACTTTTTAAATATTGATCTGACAGGAGTGCCTTGTAATGTCAAATAAAATATTTCTAAAAAATTTTTCAAAAAATTTATTCAAATATTTTTTTACATTCTTAATTGTTTAAATGAATGTGGAAAGTACAGTTAGTATTGTTTGAAATATTAAAAATTCGGTTTTTTAAATCAGAGGATATACTGTTCAAATTAAGATTGTTAATATTCTTGGAAGTCAATGAAGTTGTACTTTCATTAATAGCACTTCCAATAATATTTGAAACATTCTTCTTATTGCTAATGCTATCTTCAACGTAACTAGTCGCCGATTTCCATTCTACTTGTCGTTGGATTTGATCTATTGTCATGTCATTATTCGCCATAATGGTAGCGGACGTATGTCGAAATGCATGTCCAGTATATTTCTCAGGATCGTCCAATTTAAGATACCGTGCAATTTGATGGGGACATAATACAGATGTATTAATACCAACCACTTGATTGGTGTACTTCCCCTTATGATACCGTAAGAAAACTCGGTCTGTACTTATATTTTGGGGGCGCAATGATAAATACTGCTTCACCAAACGCACATATCTAATTGCATCACTATCGGCAACAGTCGAGCCTTCACTGTCTTAGATGGTCGGATAGTAATAAGCAATACGCTTCCTTCATCCTTGATATCAGCTAAGCGTAAATCGCACAATTCACATCTTCTACAAGAGCCAAAGATGCCACAAATAGCAACCACCTTCAAAAATAAATACGTAATGTCCGGTGCATCTGTAAAAAACTTCCGCAAATCGTCTTCCTCGAATACATATGCCTTCTTGACCACCTCATTTTTGCTAATTGCCTTCATGAATGCATGCATTTTGACGAACGATTTTATATCAACCCCTTTGTTTATCCTCAACATACTTTGTAATTTTGAACGGATAGTCCACATTGTCGATACTTTATACTGCTCCGACATTTTCTGGAGATAAGCGAGAACAACTCGTTTATCTATATGTGTAACCATTTGCTCTTCCATCCACGTGTTGAATTTATCGTATTCTTTTTTATAAATCGCTTCGGATTTTTGTGGTATTAAGCGCGATTCTACTTTATTATTTAAATACTCAATATTTAAACTCATTTTAAATAATAACAACTGTTGCGACAATTAATCTTACGTGACAGATCAAAAATAAATTTTTGTTTGTCTCATTTTCATGAAAACGAGATATACTGATGTTACATCACAAAATTCAACCATTTTCAGTTATTAGTTCTTATTTCCATTTCTTTGTAGAAATAATATCAATATTTAGGATTTCAAAGTATACCAATAAAAAAAAATAGCGTAAAGTATTCGTGGATAACTGGTCTTTAAAACACTTGCTCGCCGTCATGCTCGAAAAATCGCGCGTGTTTTAAAGACCGTTGTATCCACTTATACTTTAATATACTATTTTGTAAGCTTTCGCAGCTCAAAAAATTGTAAAGCTGTTTTGGCTGTGCATAGTCATTAATTTATTTAATTTTTGTCATATTGTGTTATTTTTGTTATATTGTGTAATTTATGTTATATCCAAATTATGTCTTATTATGTAATATGTTATATTCAATTTTCCAGCTCTATAACTAGGCATTTAGCCTGTAGAGCAGTGTATTTAATAAACAAATAAATAAATAAATACCACTAACAACAATTTTTCGAACTTAAATCAATTGATTAATATTTTTTGTTTCTTTTTAGATATTACATTATCTCAAGAAGAAATGTTTTTGAAATGTGTATGCAAGTCATTCCAAGAAACCGTAGTTGTGTACATATGCGACGTGCCTTCAAATCATTCCTTAATTCAGTACCTGAAAAGTTTCTCCTCTACACACGCAGAAAAATATTCCGCTAATAAACTTGAACTGAAACAAGCACTAATAAAGGACAAACAAAATAAAATGTTCGTTACAACAACGAGTTCTTCGAAATCACATTTACGATTTTTACCAAAAACTGATGAATCTTTAAATGAAACTTATCATTCATGGATAATTCTTCGTAAAATACCGGTACAGTCTCAAAATGGTATTTCGACAACAGAAAAAATAAAAGGACATGCACGTTCTGTAGAACATATTTTTCCAAGAAATCCATGGCAACCAATAGTAACAACTACAAGAAACTATGGTATAGGTATCAGTGAAGGTATTGTCGATGACCCCAAAAAGTTTGAACGTGATTTAAGTTCTTCACCAGTTGTAACGAATCCCATGTATGAATATTTAAACGCAACAATTAACTGGAACTCATTGGTGGAAAAGTCAACTACGTCACATTATTGGCACCATTTGATGGAAAAAAGTAGAGAAATTACAACAAATAGCGTACTCGATTTACCTCTAAGAGAAAATATCTCGACTCCAGAATCTTCAACATCTACTTCTACTTTTTCAACCGTTAACGAACAAATAACCAATCTGTCTTGGAATAGTTGGTACCGATGGCAGATGGATTTATTGGAGAACCAAACAAATGGACTGGACACTTTATTAAAAGATTTAGATTACACTACATCTAATCCGATCACACAAACAAATACTACTGAAAATAAACTAGAAAATTCTCAAAATGGGGCAGTAACAAATAACGATATTGGTTTAAATACTGTTCTTTCAACAACAGTAAAGCCTGAATTAGCCTTTAAGAATTTTTTACACGCGAAACTTCCGAATTTTCATGATTTAAATAAAACCGCGAACCGATTTAAAAGAAATGTTAACTCGAATAAGAAGCGGTTAGTGAAACCCAAAAAAATCCAACATAACAGGATAATAACTTCCTCAGCACCGCCTTCACCTTCTTCCGTCAATAAAATAAATAAACTCAATTTTTATATACAGGCTTTATTTAACGAATCATTAACAACGCAAAGTCCACATTTGGATCCCTTAGGTAAATTTGTGAATTTAACGGTAATTTCTAATAATACCAAACATTCCGAATCAATAACGACGACACATTCATTAAATATTAATGGTATGACGATAACTACTAAGCATACACCTGATATTTTAGATTTTGTATTTCCAAATCAATTAAATTTATGGTCTCCTAATGATGATGATGATAACGATGATAACGGTATGGTAGAGAAAGAATCCCCTCCACAAAAGACTACACTATCAATAAATGATTACATAGGTCATCTATTTACTACACCAATTTTAACTACTTCAATTAAACCCACTACCCAGACGGTACAGGTTGAATCACAAACATCGAATTTTTCAGATATTTTAGACGTGTTGAATACGTTGCCAACAACTCCTCGAACCACGACTCATAATTATTTATCAGATTCACTTAATTGGCGTTTTATATTTGGAGTTGATAATACAACAGAAATAAACAAAAACAACCATTGGAACAATTGGTATGCCGGTCCTTTTACAGAAGAGACTACACGTAATATTCTTGACAACACTTTACCATATATTTACGAAAAAAATCGAGAAAGAAAATTAAAATATAATTTAAATGCCGTTTCTGTTAACGTTGCTGCCAATGTGGCCAAATCTAATAAAAACAAGTTGGCTAGCTTTTTAAGACGTCGCAGATCTCTTCATCCACGACGCTCAAAGAAAATTTTAGATAAGAAAAACATTGCAACAACAATTCCAACAACCCTAGCAACTTCTAGTACAACTCTCACCACAATGCATAATTATTTGCAAGATTCTGTAAACTGGTCTTATATATTTGAAAATGATAAAACGAAATTTACTACAACTGAACCACTAGGAACTACAAGTGTTTTTGAATTAATATTACAGAAATTTTACTGGACTTCCTTGCCTAATGCTACTAACTCTTCAAATACGGAATCTGTTACGGTATTTAATGAACTAGCATCCACCGAATCTGTAAATACTAGTACCGATTTCCTAATTTTAAATAATAAGAACCAGTCAGAAACTAAATACATAATATCCAATTTATCTAGAAAAATAAGGTCGGATTCAGATATATTTTCGGATACTTTGAATAAACTACCTACAACCATTCGTCCGACAACTCATAATTATTTAAAAGATTCAATAAATTGGACCTATCTGATCGGATCACAAAATGTACAACAAGTTAGTGATGCATCTCTAAAGGGGACGAAGAAAATATTGACCACGACTTCTGTTCTTGATATATCTTTACCAGCATCGTTCTTCACAGAAACTAATTTAACTGATAACTTAACAAACTCGATAATTTTTCGAGATTTTTCAACAGAAGGGCCGGTAAATATTAGTTCCAATTTAAAATATACTAGTAATGTTACATCTATTCAGAAGGAATCTGATTTTAGAGGTAAATTACCGTCCGATGGGTCGAAGTTAATTAGACGAATCAGATCTGCCACTAAGCGGCGTTTGAAGAAGATTTCTACTACTACAGTCCGTAGAAGGAAACCCGATATTAGTAATAGTACTACAAGTTCGCTAATAGAATCTAAAGTGCGCCATTTAATGAGCGCTCTTTTAATTAACACTGAAGCACCAATAGAATCTGTAACTAGAATGCAAGCACTGATTCCTTTTGAGGTTCTTGAAAACGATTTTACAAGCACAGTATCAGAACATCCAGATGAATCATTTAATGATCGATGGTTCGTTCACAGTACTACCAGTGTCTTTGATTATATGCTAAATACATTACCAACACTGAAATACACAACTCACAATTATTTACAAGATTCTGTAGATGTGGGTTTTATGGAGAAGACAACTGAGAGTCCTATCCCGTGGTATCTTACAACTCCAGAAACAATAGAAGAGACAACCAGTATTCTTGATAAATATATTCCAAACTGTTTAATGATGGAATCTGCTAGTGATAATTCTAAATCTTTAACAAGAACGACATCTACTACTACTACTAGTACGCCAAAACCAATCAGTGATTCTTCATTAGAAAGTTTCATATTGGAAAGTACGACGGCAAAAAAGTTTTTAGGTCTAATTTTGGATTATGACTCCGATATTGATGTCGATACAAAGTCTAGAAGTATTACAAAAAGAAATCTCATGCCATTTCGTAATGATAAAACGACAATGTCATTTGAAATGTTAAATATATTGAAAACTCTTCCAACAAATTTCCCTTCAACTACACTTAGTTATTTAAAAAAACCTCTTGATTGGGATTCTGTAACAAAAAGAGAATATTTACTAACTAAGATTAATTCAGTTACTTCAAAATCAGATGACATAAAAAATAGTTCTGTACAATTCTCAAAAGTATCTGCAGTACATAATGTATCTCTAAATCATACGGGTAAATATATTAAAGATTATTTCAACCAATCAACGAACACAAAAACTCCCAGCTATACCGATAAGTTGCAAACAAATTATAAAACGACCCATTATTATAATACTTATTTAAATAATTTGGGAGAAATTTCCAATCAAATTTTCACAAATAAATCATCCAATATGACTATTGAAAATTTGGATACTGCTAAATCTAAATTTAATTCTCAAGTTTCAAAAAATTCGAAAATTAAACCTAAAACATCCACAGACCATAAATTAAACAAAATTATACGTAAACTATTTTTGACTACTTCATCTCCTTTGAATTCCTCATTTAAAATTAAATCAACTACTAAAGCAGACTCAATGGAAGCAATTTTATATTTAGGATTAAACGAACTTCCAAAATATTCATTTCAAACTTCTCAATCAAATTTTTCAACAAACAGTTTATCTGGTGCTGTGTCATATTCCGAATTCTCAAATTTGTCAGACTCCGAATTAAACAATACTGACTCCATAGATACGCAAGATAACTCTACTCAATTATCAACATTATCTCTTATTGATAATTCAATCACTCATTCTAATCAGAATTATAGCAAATTAGATATAAATCTTACAGATATTTCAGAATCAGTGTCAACTTCATCTTATTGGTTAAAACCAACTTCTACGTTAGAAATTCCCGAAGTAACTGAATATCCTGACAAAAAACAAAACTATTTTTCAATATTTTTTGCAAACCTCATTGATTTAATTTTATTAGACAAACAATTTTTAAATATTGATGGTTTTGAGTTTAACACAACATTTATCCCAAAATTAAATAATTCTATAACTACTAATAGACCACCTCAAATTAAATTTGATTCATCTTTAAAATCCGTTAATACTGATGGTTTTAAAAATGTATTACCTAATTCAACAAAAAGTAATTTTTCTCATGTTGTTTCTCCGTTAACTTCAGATAACTTAAATATAAGTGTGCCCGCATTACTGATTATTAATAAAAAACTTGCAGATTTAAACGCAGGAAGATATGAACAACCTAAGTATTGGATTAATAAACGAGCTTTAAATCTAACATCAAGATACAAAAGAAGTTCAGCTGTGAAATCAGAACCTGATTATATTTTTTCTCTTATGACTACTTCAGGAGTTCCTTCGTCCTTACCTGATTCTTCGAAAATTCCATTTTATAGAGCTAGACGTTCAACTATAGCACCTCTAAGAAATAGAGAAATAAATTTTAAACGAAATGCAAATTCCATTTTCATAGAAAATATTACTGAAGAATTTCCTACTAATACGAATTCAAATTTTACAGAAAACTATAAAAAAGAAAATATAATACCAAATAGCTTGAGTAATCTAATAAAAACTGACGCAGGAAAAAAGCAATTTGTTAATCGTTTTTCAAAATGGGTACCATTTATAGCTATTAATCAATCTTTTTCACAATATTTTTTTGAAAATTCGTCTAAGGAAAATAAAAATAATACACCCAGGGAAGTTACTGATCCATCGACATCTGCAAGTATTTTTCTTAAACGAAAAAATGCAACGTCGCGTTTAAATTTTAGACCAGCTATTATTAATCAACCGATAACTCTGAATGTTATTATAAATAAGATGCTCCCAAATAAATATAAAAGTCTAATTATGGGTATAACACCTCGTTTAGCAATAAATACAACAACTGCGAATCCTATTTCACAAAATAATACGACGACATTCACAGAACATTTGTCCCTTCCGTTACCAACACGACCTGAACCAGTTGCTATATTAAAAAACAATTCAAACATTATTTCATATCCATCAAAAACAAACGAAAATTCGTTATTAAATAAATCACCGAGTTGGTTAAATATATTTTCTGAAATAGCACAAAGGACAAATATAACAACATCCACGACACCATCTAATGGTACTTACAGTAAATTTACAACTATTAATAAGACTGCTGCTATAATATCAACGTTTATTGCCTTTACTAGTAATATAACTAATATTTCTTCTAATGATGTAACTATTATGCTAACTACAAGCAGAACACCAACACTAGATGCAGACGAACAAATAATTTTAGAAAATTTACATGATACTGATAATAGAGTTAATAAAATTTCAAAAAATTTTACACAAATTAATTCAGATTTATTGTTTCCTTTAAATAAAAAAAAAATTACAACCTTAAATCATACGTCCACGGTCCAAATTTCAAAAGATTCTCCCAAAATCATAACAGATTTAAAATCTACAACTTTAAAAAATTCGGATCTGTTAATTAGTAACACAACTCAACAAACTAGCAATTCAAATGAGTATGAATATAGTGTGGAGGGAATAAGTTCTTCTAGCTCTTTAGATACATCAACAGAATTTGCGTTATTTGAACAATTTTATACCAGAAATAACTTGCAATCACAGCTAAATCCTACAACTAACAAAAAAGAAGAACGTCGTGTAACTACAAATAAGGAAAAAGATAGCGACATTCTATATATTCCCATTTGGCAAGGAAGCGATAATATTGCTTCTACAATTATTACTATTTTAAACGACACAGGCGATGTTGGTAACAATGAGTTGCAAGAACAAACAACGTTTGATTATGAAGCGAGAGGTAGAATATTTAGTTCTCCCAATTGGTACGAATCAATCTCGAATAACATCAATGTAGACAGTAATTTACCTAATGATCCTATTTTTAATAAGCCTTTATCTAATTTCGAAAGTTCAACATTACCGTCAAGTAAATCTCACAATTCTTACAACTATCTTTCAACATATATGTCGAATAAAAATAATTTACAATCTAATTTACCTATAATTAGGACAATCACTAGTATGTCAATATTAAATTCTACTTCAGACACACAAACATTTCCAAATCTAAATTTAAGTGTTTTCTCAACGTCGAAATTTGATGAGGTAGAAACTGGAGAAATTCTTAAATATTCAAAATTGCCTTCCGAAGATGCTAAAACACCGCTTAGAGATCAAAGTCCAGATTACGTTGGCAGAGCATTTCTCAAGGAAGCTCCGGTACAGAGATCTATTTTGGGCCCATTTGAAAGTAAGTATTGTAAGAATTAAGAATATGGACTAGTATATTTTACATTAAGAGTGTGAAAAGTGACTTTCAGACGAGTGGGAAATATTGTCGCACGAGGCATAAGCTGAGTGCGACAATCACGCGAGTGTGAAAAATCACTTTATTATATTTTTCCCATAACCACAAAATAGTTTTATCAACAAAATGTAGAACTAGAAAATCTGGATATAAAAGTTCCATTAAGATGTAGCTTGTTTTTTATATGCCTTATTGAATAATTTTTAAAGCGTTTTACAAATAGTGTTTTGTCAAAATTCCATTTATGTACAATTTCATAGGATGATAAAGATAAAATAATATTAGGTATGGTACAAGCAAACGATATAGTGTGACTTTAAAGCTTTAAAGCCAGCCGGCAACATACAAAAAAAAAATTGAGGAGTCTGATACATCACTTTTAAATTAGTAGAGGAGCATTCAAGAGATTGAGTATACTGATTTTATTTTTACTTTCCTCGATATTGTAATCGTGAACATTTAGATTTTCACGTTTTTGGGTCCCTAGATTATGAAAAACATGTTTTCCCCATTCCGTCAGTCTGTCCGCCGTCTGTTGGCTGCCGTCTGTCTTTTGGCGCAATAGCTCAAAAACGGCTTAGAAGAAAAACTTCAAATTTTGTATGCAGGTAAGGATTCCTCTTGGCTCAAAACCAGTTATACTTCCGATCAGATATATACAGGGTTAGCAATTAAAAAATATTTATTTTTAAAAGTCAGCAGATTTCGACTAAAATTGGTTTCTGAAAAAAATTTTATCTGACACTGTAGAGAAAATTTTAATAATAGCCATGTTCCTTGGTAGAACCTGAGCTATTATTTGAAGCCATTATATAAAATCTGGTCATTTTGATTCTAACCCCTAAAATTACCCTTTTTGATATGTTGTGACAGTTATCCTGACTAGTGAGTCAATTTCAGTCTTGCACTGACGCGCGCACTTTTTCTTTTTCTTACTCAAACTACGGCGATCTGCTACTATGTCAGAATGATGTGCAACAAAGTCAAAACAAATAATATTAGGAATGGTTGTACTCCTCATCATATTTTTTATTTTACACTGGGTTACGTCGCCATTAGTTCTTGTTGTGACACTTTTCCTGACTGACATTTATTTGATAATACAATTTAATATGCTTATACAAATAAAAAAATGATATAAGAAGTCTATAATAATGGATACGGTTCATGTAACTCATTTTATATCATAACGTCTTCCATAAATTTTGGTGGAATTACTAAAAAAAAAATGGTTAGAGTCATTAAAAACAAGTTGTCATGATCTCTAATTTGTAAATACTGTAAGAGGGCAATAATATAAAGAACACAATGTCACCAAAACAAAAACAATATTTTAACAAAAATAACTGAAAATAGTACAAGGCAACACAAAATGTTTGAATGCCAAAAGTAACTGAACATGGCAAAACAAAACAACTCAAAATACAGTAACTGAAAATAGCACAACAAAACAAAGTATTTGAGTTCCAAAAAATAACTGAAAAGGGCCAAAAAAAGTTCATAGGACAATTTGAACTACTTCACTCAGCAAATAGACTTGTGTAGTAAAGTGCGTGGCTTTTTGGAATCTGGTTTGCGTTTATAAGGTCCATTATGTCGCTTTTCTTGTTTGCAGGTATTTCTATTTTTCGTTCATATGCGGAAGTGAGCTGAACATTCTCGAGAATGTTTTTAATTTTCTTCTTTTCATCGCTGTCCCTACTTGCTCTTGTCTTCTTGTAGATGCAACGCGACTTTATGTGGGATTTCACAATCATAATTGGATATACTTTTCGTAGTTACAAATTTTATATTGTGAAGTTTGGAGCTTTTCGTCAGTTGTCGTTGTATTAAAGTTTGATCCCAGTTGAGTCTGTAATTTCTTAATGTCAATAAAATCAGTCTGGGTCATTTCAATTAGCTCAAAAAAAGGCTTATTAGGTTTTGCATTCTTGATTGTGTCGGTATACGTGACAGGGGTGTAGATCGGACTTTTTTTAGTATACTTTTTAACGGCTTTTTCGATAAGGGAATGTGCCGAATCCTCTTCATTTTGTGTGTGGCCGCATATTAAGAATTTGTGATTGATTGTTTTTATGTTAGGCAGTTTCTGCACAGCAGCGTACAAAAACATTGCACTTGTATATTTATTTTTATTTTGGCCAGTGCAATTAACGGAGTAAAATTGACAATAAGAGATTTCATCAAATACCGATTATATATTCAAAAACACTGTCATATCACATAATAGGCCACTCTTGCGTATTGAAATTTCGCTGTCATGAAAGATATGTGCCACAACATTAGGTTATGACTGTTTATATTACTTAACCTCGATCAGGAAGAGTGTCATATTTTGTATTGGGACAGTTTCGCGGCATGCTGGCGCATGTTCACTGCTCGATGGTCAGTCACATACTAACTTAAGACACTCTTTCCGCGCAAGATGGTCGCAGAAACGGCAAAATCCAAAATCCACGACGTCGTAGTATGTGAATAAGAGTTTCGGCCTCCTCTTCACATATTCTATATAGGGAGTCATCAGATATTCCTAAGAGATTTAGGTGTCTTCTAAGGCCGCAGTGTCCCGTAAGGAGTCCTATTACGGCCTTGAGTTCGTTTCTGCTAAGGTTAAGCAGTTAATTTCGTCTGCTCGTGGATGGCCCCTCTATGAATGTTTTGGACTGTCTAAGTCCAGAAAGTTCCAACCAGAGCCTATGGTGTTCTCTATTTATTTGTTCCTTTAACACCCATTTAACATATTGGTATGAGGTACAACATGTAAGTTCTGGTCCAATAAGAGTTTTTTCCGCTAGGAGGTCTGCTTTCTCGTTTCCAAACACTCCCTTATGTCCTGGAACCTATTTAAGGATGACCTTGTTATGTTCTGCCAGGGACTGTTGGCAATCAAATATTGATTAAGATTGTACTACTACCCTTTTCAGTGCTTTTGACGAAGTTAAATATAAAGGTAAACTCAAGTTTGCATATCAAATTTTGGTGTGGTGTGGTAAAGCCATCAATAAAGACATTTTCATACAAAAATGCCTTGCCTAAATTTTATATCATACATATCATCCCAACGACCAAAGAATCTTCTGACCTGACTGGCATCAATTTAGTTCCATAGATAGATAACTTTCTCAATGTTCCTCAGGAGAGATTCATTGAGGAATTTTGGCCCCATTTGAGTCAAAAGGTATATGATGGTGGTTGAGAAGTCCAAAACGAGGATCAGTTGAGAGGTAGAAACTTTTATAAATTTCTTTAAGCTGACGTTGCTACCGTCGAAAGACTGATGAGCCATTAAAAAAACAAATGACGTTTACAAAAGAGCATGTAAATATTTAGTTCATTTAAGATATACGAATAAGTTTCTGCCAACAAAGTAAAAAAAAAATTAAAAATTAAATAATAAAATTTGACTCTTACTTTTCTTTATAGAAATTCTGAGACAAACGTTACGTATTCACGTGTCACTCAGGAAAACAAACTTAAGTGGATTTGGACTTTTTTATGTATTGCTTTGAAAAATAATCTCCTTTAAAAATATCATTTGGTTTTTGACAAATGAGTCGTCTGTGATTTGCAATTTTATATAAAAAGCCGCAGTCTTTGATAGAAGTGTTGGACAAGAAACACTCAAATTTATCAAAATACATTTTTAAGACTTAAGCGTACTTCTTTGTACAATAGGGGAAGTTTACTTAAAATGAAGTACTCTGGTAAAACGGGAAACCCTTATTATTTTGTAGTGCAAGCAGCGCCATCTGTTCTACCATTAACAATTTAAAACACTTTTTTAATGAAAATATTTGGCTGGGCTTAGCTCCGATCATTTATGAAAAGAAATTACCTTTCTCTGGGGAGAGCCGAAGTAACATAAGCAGTTCACGCTAGGGGCTTTAATAGACCTGCCGTGTTTAATTTTTTTGATTTACTGGAGCACCTGCAATATAGATACGCATGTGAACCATTCAGAATATTTAACGTCAATTAGATGGACTTAAAAACTCTGCAGGGGCATCCATCTAAGGTGATTGCAATGAAAGAAAGCAAGTAGGAACGTTAATCTCAGCAGAACGGGAAACACTATGCACTCTGGTAATATGCATGAGTGCTGCAGAGACATATATTTCACCTATGATAATTTTCCCACGAGTTGACGGTCAAGGAAGAGTTTTCGATTGAACTATCTCCCGAATTCACAGTTGCCTGCCATTCTTCAAGTTGGGTGCCATTTTTCTAGTTGGGTGCAATTCTCTTCAAAAAGTGGTTCAAAGAAAATCTTTTTTTTTCTTATAATAAAACTCATACTCAAAACATACCTGTGATAGAGGAAGCCAAGGATCAAGTCGTTACAATGTTGTGCTTACCAATACATTCTAGTCTTCGCAGGCAACTACTTGACGTTTCTTTTATGGTACCAATATCGGCATTCTACAGTCAAGAGATTGAAACATTTCTAAGGAACAATCCAGGTAGGGTCGTCACAATTCACCAAATAGGAAGATTATTTAGATAGGCCTTCTTAAGGGCAGCATCACCCAATAATGCAAATGATGGTTTTGAGAAGATTGGCTTATTGCCCGTTAATCGCCATGTTTTCACTGACGATATGTTTATAGCTGCTGATCCCACTGATCAGACAGAAAGTAAATCAACTCCAACGCAAAAAGGCTTATCAAAAAAGAGAACTATAATTTCCAATTAGGCACCAAACACCTCCCAGACACTGCCACAATTAAAATCAACCCCTCCACTCAGGAATCGAACATTGCCTCTATCGAAATCCTTTTCAAAGGAAGAAAAAATCAGTAAAGGAAAAATACAAACTACTGAAAATTAGTTAGATCAAAAATAAGGCTGATGAAGCAACATACAAGACTAGAGATCAAAAAGATGACCTAAACACAAAAATACCAAAAAAATAGACATGACCAAAGAAAACAGTGATGATGAAA